TCATTTGGTCACAGACAAGAATAGCACCTGTGACCACTGCATCAGACACCTCAACCTTGGACTTGCCCAGAAAGGCATAAAATTGAGCCTTGTCATCTTGGTGGGCAACCACCTTACCTGGCGGCACTGCTCCCCCATCTGCATTACCATTTCCCCAGCCTCCACAGCCTCGCTGATTTCCTCCTCATATGCCCAGATTCTCCACAATTTTAACACACTTAATAACTTAACTAAGTAAGCATCGCTGCTATTGTAGTAGTCGTATCATGACCCTCTTTGATATACACTTAAACTAGGAAATCGCAGTAGAGATTCTAACTTCAATTATCGTAATATAATATCATCATTTACTAAGTAATCCATACATGTTATGACAACAATACTAAATGCATTTTCCAAAGTAATGGTGTTCATTATCCAACCGTCCCTTACAAAACTTCTTGAATATTGTCACCTATAAGCTTGAAACTCTAAATTTGACCTTAATCACTTCACAAAGCAACAAATGTGCTCTATGTTCATAAACTTATATCTCCTTCTATCCCTCAAAGTTCAGGGTATATACTTCTCCATAAAGAAAGTTATAAAATGTTTCTAAGTCATAAGTAGTGCATTTACTAGTCGGTACTCAACATGAGACAACCACCACATTTTGGTATCTCTCTGGAATTGATATGTCACAAACTCAACCCCAAACATCTCCACTATATTTATCTTATGAAGCAACTCATGACAGTCAACAAGGAAATCCTAAACATCTTCATATTTCGTACCCATGAAGAATGAGACTTTCAACTTTAAAAACTTAAGAAAAGATCATGTTGGTCACTAGTCTTTACATGCCCACATTAATCGGGGAAACATGCTTATTTGGAAGGACGCATCCTCTCTTGCTAGTGTTGGTGTTACCACTACTGTTGCTCTAGTTCTGACCATAGAGTGAACGAGGAAATATACGAATTTGTATCACCTAGATACCAATTGGATTCAAGTAATAGCACGAAGGAAAGAAATAAATGAGTTTTCCTAAAGTCCTACAGCCTCTCAAAGAAAATTACAAACGTCTATGTACCATTTCGCAAGACTTACTAGATTCGTTTTGGAACAATGAGATCAACAAATCTAGGGCTCTGATACCAACTTTGTCATGACCCAGATCATCGTGATTGACACTCACACTAACCCTTCGATGGGAGAACCATTACTACAAGCCAATTAAGCAACTTAACGAAAACTAGAACATTTAAAGATACGAAAGCATGTTTAAATGACTAAGGAAATATGGAGCTCCTATAAACTCCGAAAGTTTAACAAATCGACTAACATAACTACTGCGGAAATTCAACCCCTAGAACTGAAAGTCATTATACCAAAACTCTGATTAACTAACAAGTCTAAGAAAATGGGGGCGCAACCCCAAAAACTAAACAAAACACTTTAAACAAATAGTTTGAATCCAAAAATAGTGGACTTAAACAAGAAAGATCCATGGGAGCATGAAAGAACTTGCTCACCCTTGAATTTGATCACACTCAATAGTCACCTAACTGAGGTCTGTTAGTAGCGGCCTGAAGATGCCCTGTACTCGACAAAGAAAGAACAAGTGCAGTATCAGTACACAACTACAGTGTACTGGTCGGATCACACGGCTACTCTCATAAGCACAATACATACAACGAACAATTACAACACAGTAAGCACATATATACAAAATGCATAGATCAATCATCATTTAGAAATAACATACAATTCCCAATATAAATGACAGGTAAATAAGAACATAATAATAACAAGTGGTTCTCTCATTGAACCCACACCCAAATTGTTAGTGTGTCGGAATATGACACCCGATCCAATATATGTGTTGAAACTGACACCCAATCGAATATATGTGTCAAAACTGACACCCAATCGAATATATGTGTCGAAACTGACACCCAATCGAATATATGTGTCGAAACGTGACATCCGATCCAATTTATGTATCAGAACGTGACACCCGATTCAATATATGTGTCGAAACATGACATCTGATCCAGTCAACACAACCACAGTCACAATCACATCCATAATGAACAATACTCATTATCCTACAATCAAGTAACAGGTTTATGACATGTATTGAGACACACATCATCATTTCATTAGATTGATTCGCATTCCCTATTGACATACATGCATGCATACAATGAAACAATTATCCAGCATATATCACACAACAGAAAACCAAACCATCACCTACCTCGAAACCAAGCTTGAATCATCCTAAGACAATTGAGCCTTCCCTTTCCAGATTCTTTCCGGTTGTTCTTGATCTACAAACGAGTAATTTAATGCAATGATCAATAATTAAGGTCTAATTTACTCGGAATATAACAACCCAATAACCCAAGACCAAACCCATGATCCTAACGTGCATCTAAGGCTTTTTCTCACCATCAACTTCAGGCCAAAACCTTTCCCCAATGATAATTACCCAAGAATCTAAGTTTTACGGATCGAAAAATGGATTAGGTGAGTAAAATCCTTACCTTTAGCACCAAAAGTTGTGGTAAACTATCAAGAAATCTCCTTGGGTCGTTCCTTAGCTTTTAAGAACGAAGTTTTGCAGAAAAATAATGTTTTTGGGGTTTTTCCCCGATTGAAGTCACGACTGTCCCACTACAGCGGCCCCGCTCTGGCGGCTTGCACAAGAGACAGGAGCTTGGAATTTGTTCACAACACACCTTCAATCCTTGACGTTCAGAAATTACCATTTCACACCAATATCAGTTTTAGGAGTTCTACTCGCCTGAATTCGATTCTGTAAAGTCGTACGAGCTTCTTAACGTGTTAGCTATACATTCATGTGATCAAATTTATAATTAGATCCCCCATTCATTACCATATTTCCCTATACCTTACCTGACTCATATTTCGTTCAAATCTGGACTAGGCTACAATTTTTCAAGTCACTACTCAAAAGTTTTCTGGCCCAAATTCTTTTCCTATTGGCTTTTCCAAAACAATGAAAACATGTCATTACACATAGCCACAATATCATTATTCATAACATCACCACGTTATAGAATAATTACAAATTCATAATTCATATTATCAATGAATAATCAATTCAACAATTTTGCATGTTAGATCTTACCAACAACACTTAATTTCATCAAAACAAGAACAACTATGTTCGCAGATCAATCAACATGCGATACAATTCACATTACATATTGATAACTAAGTAAAGTCTAACTCTAAGTAAATTGTAACCTACCTCAATCGACAAATTAAAAACGAACAAGTTTAATTATCGTAGTTTTTTTTTCTTTTCTCAATGCCTTAGAACGCTCAAAGTCTAATACATACAAAATATAAGGTCTCTTTAATATCCTATTTATAGAAGGTCTTGTGTATTTAAACCCACCTCATTCTACCTTTTAAAAGCTTTGACGAATTGTTAACAAGTTATTTTATTAAATTGAAGATTTTCATGATCAACCCAATTTCATGGGGTTTCAAGATTCCTCAATACCGAAATTAAAGTTTGAACCCACAACTTCATGCTTAAAGATCAAATCCAATAAAAAATAATCAAAAACATGCATAAATACCCTAACTTTACATTCTTTCCCAACAATTATAACCCTAGGATTTAATCCATAAAGTTCTATGAAGAAATTACCCTTCCATTTTATGAATAAAAATGAATTACAGAAGGGAAAGATGGATTGAAATCACTTACCTCAAGCAACGAAAATCTTAACTCTTAAAAATGTCATCATTGGCATACCAAGACATGGACAAAAAACTGATTTAAACACAAAAATAAAATCTCGACCTTTTCTATAGTGAAGGTCGTTATAATATGTGGTGGTTAACGAGTGTTTGTGGTTGTTGATGGCTATACTAGTTGTTATGGTGGAGGTGTTTGATAGTAGGGATTGATCACATAGTGGTAGTAATTGATAGTGATGGTGGGGATTGTGGTGATGACTAAACGCAATGTATGGTAGTTGACTATGTGTTGGTGATAGTTAACGACAATGATGATGACAATTGTAATAATGAGGTTGATAGGTATATATAGTAGTCGTTGCCATTAGTGGTTTATAATGTTGTTAGTTGCCATTGACGATTGTGATGATAGAAGTGATTGATGGTTGACAGAGGCGTATCCAGGATCTCAAGAACATGGGGGCACCATTATCTTCAAAATAGACAATTAATTCAATTATATAAATTTTACGGTGAGAACAAGTTGACAAGCAAGTAGGTAGTATCAATCTTTATATAGTAATATATTAGCAAAAAACATCATTCACTTACAATTGTCCTCGACGAGTTTTCATATTTTGAAAACGGTCAATAATGGCATCATTACTTACATTTTAAAATATACTACGCTCTATATAGCAAACTAAACAACCATTCAAAAGATCTTCATCCATCCTATTACGCAAATCATTCTTTATGTATTTCATTGATGAGAAAGCTTTTTTCACGCTTACGGTAGCAACAGGAATAATCAAAGTTAGCTTCACAAGTAGATACACAAGTGACCAAGTTTGATCTAGTTTTGTCTCTATCATCACTTTTACAAGATCATTGATTCCCTTCAAGTTGAGAAACTTGCTATCACACTTTTGAGAATAGACAATAAAATCATCAAGTTGAAAATTGAGTTTCCGAAGCTCTTTATCACCAAACTCACTTGGATAGTACTCGGCTAGTTTCATTATCATATCCTTGTGAAAATTAGCAAATGAATCAACCGGACTCAAACTAGCCATACCGAGGAGCAAGTCACTAGTCACCACATCAAAACGATTATTGAGTTCTTGAAGTGCCAAACCAATGATGGCATAAAATACTTCCACACGAAAGTGATGCAAATATGAAATATTGGACCTCTTACGCTTGGACTTCCCATTAGAGTAGTCTTCATTTTTTTTGGGAATTGAAATTCCATGTTTACCACAAAATAAGCTAACCTCATCCATCATAGAGTCTCATTAATCCTCTCTCATCATTGGTAATCGTTTCTTTGAAAGGTCAAGCAATCCCATAGCATTAACGATATCTTGATCTTTCTTTTGTAAAACTTTATTCAACTCATTCGTCAATAGCAACACCTTAAACATCAAGTGCAACATAAAGACAAATTCAAATTCATGAATCTTGCTCAAAAGATTTTCTGCCGCAAATCTATCAAGATGATATGGACAATCATGTTTCATATCCTTAAGCACATTAACAATTGAAGAAAAAAGAATCAGGAAATTGTCCAAGGTTTTAAAATGAGACCCCCAACGAGTATCACCCGGTCGTTGGAGGCCACGTTCTTGATTCAAACCTTGCACTGTATGAACTTAAGCAACTCTTCTAACTTATCTTCTTGATGTTGTCGAAGTGAATCTCTGCGTTTAAATGAAGCTCCAATAGTATTCAAAATATTAGTGAGAACATAAAAAAAAATTATCCACATCCGAATTCTTTTTGGAAAGACCTACAAGTGCCAATTGCAATTGGTGAGCAAAACAGTGAATAAAATATGCAGACGACGTCTCTTGTAAAATCAAAGACTTGAGACCATTTATTTCTCCTTGCATATTACTAGCCCCATCATAACCTTGACCACGTATTTTGGATGTACATAATGAGTGATCCAAAAGCAAAGAATAAATTGCATTTTTTAATGATTGAGAAGATGTATCATTTACGTGGACAATACCCAAGAATCGCTCTATCACCATTCCACTTTTGTTGACATATCTCAAAATTAGAGCCATTTTCTCCTTATGAGAAACATCCTTTGATTCATCAACTAATATTCCAAAATAATCACCGTCCAAGTCTTCAATGATAGCCTTAGTTGTTTCTTTAGCACAAGCCTCCACAATATCTTTTTGAATTGTCGGACAAATCATCATATCATTTTGTGGAGCATTACCTAATATTACTTTTTCCACATCAAAACTTCTATCCCCATACCATTTCAAAAGTTCAAGAAAAACACCCTTATATTCAGAACCTTCACTTTCATCATGTCCACGAAATGAAAATCCCGATGTCAAGAGAAATCTTGCTACATCAATTGAGGCATTTAAACGCATCCGATAATCACTTCTTGCCTTTTCACTTTGCTTGTCAAAAGAAGATTGGATCGATTGTCGTTGGTTTTTCAAATCTTGCATCCTATTGAAACATTTATGATGGATACTATTTACCTTACCAACATGTTTTTTGAATCTTTCTAAAGCTTTGTTCCAACACCTAAAACCATCTCTTGTAAATGAATCTCCGGCATTTCCTCGACTTTCAAGTTCATTCTTGAACAAATAATAACACAAACAAAATGTTGTGTCTGCTTTAATGCTATAGTCCAACCATTGAGATCTTCTCTTAAACCAAGTTGGTCGAAATTGACGCATTTTATCTCCAAACTTAGTTTTAGGGAAGATATGATCAATAGGTTTACATGGCTTTTTTTGAATGTAATACCTCCTTATCGCATCTCGAATATTAGGACAATAAAATGAAATAGGCATTCGATCTTTGGAATCTGCTTTCAGAGATTTAAAATCAAGCATATTATCCATATTTGAAAGTGGAAAAGAATTTGTATGACTTTGAACTTCCGGAGCAACTTGTGAACTCACAAATGGTTGATTAGAGCTAGAACTTGGTTGGCCATCTTTTGGCTTTGGTAACTTGATGAGAAACTTATCCATCTGTGATTTGATAAATTGATTGTAAGAATTATTTTACCTACAAAATTAAATATTCACACTTCTATTCAATCTTATAAAAACAAAATAATTTTAAAAAAATATTAGCACAAATAACAAGTTTACTAATAAAAGAATCACAATTATTAGATAACTATTTAGAAATCAAGAAATTCTTATAAATTTAAATATTCAAGCAATCAAATAATGGAACCATTTCATAAATCAAGAAAAACATATAAAACAAATAAAGTACATTAATAAATAATTATTTTTTTTAGATAACATACCTTGTTACTTGTTCTCAAATCTCACTTCTACTTCACCATGAACAACAAAGTGGAAATGTGGAATGAAGCCAAAAGATGAACAAAATGATGTCTTTACTCCTTTTTACCTTTTAGTTTAGGGCTTTGAAAAGTCAAAAGAAAAAGTTAAAAAAATAAATAAGAAAAACGTCTAAATAAAGAAGGAAAGGAGAAAAAGAAAGTAAAAAATATAATTTGACTTTATTGACACTTCTAGCTTAAGGTCTAGACATAGCTAATGCAACCTAAAAATATGGGTATTTGAACCTCTTTTTATTTATAAATTATTAAAAAGATCTATGAAAAGTGGCACATTTTGTTATATTAATTAAAAATTAAAAATATTAATGTGGATAGAAAAAATTGAACCACAAATCTATAAGTTATGCACCCCCCTATTTGTACTTACTTATCAATATACTAGAGTATTCTTTTTAACCTTGGGTTCACCAATACAAATTAAAAAGATAATTAGAAAAATAGTAGTATTATATAGGGGTTAGGAAGGGGAGGATGGGTGCATGTGAACCCCCTCCCCTTCATGTACATACGCCCCTGATGGTTGACGATTATAATGATTGTGATGGTAGAGGTGATTGGTAATTGCAGATAAAGTATAACGGTGTTAGTTGCCAATGGTGATTATAATTTTTTTTTAAAAAACAATCCCAAAAAAAATAAAATGTATATATATATATATATATATATATATATATATATATATATATAAATTCCTCTTAATGTTTTGAGTCTTTCAATATATCATTGGTTCAAAATGATTCAAAAGAAAGATGAGGAGAAGGAGGAGCAAGAGGAGAACATACATTAATGGTCGGTAGAAGACCAAAGAAGGAAGAGAAAAATGTAAATAAGTTTAGTAACATACAAAAATTGTCTAGCTAGTTTTCTCGTAATTCTTAACCATAAAGCTTCTACAATATTTTAGGATTTTGTAGCGTGATATTTTCTTATAAGTTTGTAAATAATTACGCCAAACTCAATATTTTTTCATGTCCAATTCACTCATAACAAAAATTTCAATAAACAAATATTGGAAGAGCTAGTTTTGCATGCCACTTACAAAAAATCTAATTTATGTCATTTTTACATCTAAAAATGTTTCCTCCACATAAAAAAGCTAATAAATAAATAAATTATTCCTTTTGAATATATTTGGAAAGCTAATTGTTACCAAAAATAAAATCAATGATGAAGGGGGTCAGAGATATTTTTTTATTAAGAAAGTTTTACTAGTATTGCACCCGTGGGATTGTCCACTTGTGTTACTTATTTAAATCCAGTAAAAGAAAACGAGTGTCGACCGTACAGGTACAATGCCAACAAAATAAGTAGATAGGGATGGTAATTGCACCAATAAATTCGTCAAAGATCTCTCCATCAGATCTTCTCTGCTAAAAACTCCAACTTTGCTTGCATCATCATTATTTCAATTTTCTCTCTCCCCCTATTCAAATTAATTCAGATTCATATCGCGTAATATTTAAAATCTATTTTTCTAATAAAATGAAATAATAATAATCATAAGAAGACAAAAGTTGTACTGCTATTAAAAAGTAGTAGTAGTAGAGTCTTACAGAGGCCATACTGTTTTACTATTCATTCCATCATTTTCATTTATTTGCCATAACCATTTAGTTGTTTGAATCAAGCAATGAAAGTATGTTTTTCTTTTACTTTGTTTACTCTTTTCTCATTTGGGTTAAAAAAGCAGGTGACTTTTTAGGTGTGTAGAGAAAATTTGCTTGGCAAGAATAAACAGTGCAATGTACAGGAGTTTCAACAGAATTAAGGGGAATCCAGATATGTTTGGTTCTGATAATTATTGCAGAAATAGCAGAGAGAAAGAGGGGGGCCTGTGAAAAGGAATGGGCCCTCTGATAAGTAAAGGCTGCAAGAAGAAATGAGTGGAACTGCACTGCTTGCCTACCATCAACTAGTAGGAGTGGTGTAGTAACACCTTACCTTCACAGACATACATCATATTTTGTTTGGTTCACATATTATATTATTATGCTCAAATTCAGGAGTGATAATTGAGCGGGTTGAGTGCAATTTAAACGAGTTACAATGAGTTAAAGAGAATAATCGGGTCAAGACTCAATTCGATACAAATTTACTTGGGTCAAAATGGAACCAGGTGGGTTATATTATAAGTCAAGACTCAACCCAATTCAATTTTTTACCAAGCCTAATTATTTTATTTGTTCTTTTAAACTATTTTAGTACCTAATAAAATTGTTTTTTCTTTATTATGACTATATATAGCATATTAAATTGAAAAAAAAAAAAAAAAAATATTTTGATAAGATTTTTCATGAGTAAATTCGAATTACATATCAATCCAATTTTTAATGAGTTGAAATGGGTTGAACTAATAAATGGACGGGTCATCTTAAATGAGTTGGCCGAATTGAACGGGTTGGATTTGATTTTGCCATCCCTACTCAAATTATACTTTTCTTCTCCTATTTTATATAGTAGTTTTGTTTTTGATGTCTTAAATTTTCATATTTAGCAGTAATTTAATTTTATCACTAATGTAAAATGAAAAATTTTTGAAAGCCATTTTCATAAAAAATAATAATTAAAGTTTCCGACTAAAAGTCCAACAGAACAGCGGTATTATAACCAGAAATTTCATCGAAGTGTTGAATACATATAAAGAAATTTAATTAGTAAATGGGTGCACCAAAAATTCTGTACTTCGAATGATAATGAAGAGTGTTATGACTCTAAAGCATTCTTTTTTGTTCTTAAATATAATCAAACTTCGTTATAATAGTATCGAGAATATTTTTTTTAACATAAAATCTATATTTTGTGGAATATAATATCGGAGAGACTTCATCAATTTGATCACTCATGTAATAACACCTTTATCCTTTTTCAAAGTTAAAGGGGTGATTAGTAGCATTATTTTTCTAATTGTTCTAATTTATAGTAGCATTATTATTATTATTATTATTATTATTATTATTATTATTATTATTATTATCTATATAACACTGATTTTATTGTAACATTTATATATAAAAATCGAGTTTAAAACAATATGGAGGACAACCTCGTGCATGGGGTGCCTCAATTTTCTTCTCCTAACCCAGATGATGGAAGAATCTACAAATAAGGATGAATATCATGACTTACCTTAGTTAAAATTTAATGTACATATGCTAAAACTCTTCTAAACTCATTTAATTTGTCTAGATTATATATTTAAAAAATAATTAGAATAATACTTTTTGCTATCAAAACATAAGAAAATAAGTTAAAAAACTCAATTATTTTTCAAAAGAATATTTTCATTCTTATCGAACACACTCAAAGTGTTCCTATTAACTACTTCTCGTTTATTTTTCAATTGCGCATATTCTTATGTAATTAAGTTAATTAAATAAAATCGTTTTCTTTAGTTATACTCTTCAATCTCAACTAAAAAAAGATTGAGATTTTACAACTTATTAACATGAATGTGTAGATGACATATTTTAATTTATTTACATAATACACACAATTATTTTTTTTTTCAAAATTTAAATTGAAAATATTTAATAAAAACACTTTATCATGCGTTTGTATGCTCAGTTGAAACAGGACTACCTCATAAACATGACTGTTTCAATAGAATTGGAGGCCTACAACTAAATTTCACAGAGATGCTTAAACTTTTCTTTTTTCTAGTACGTATAAATTATACTATAACAATAACATACTCAATATAATATTCTACAAGTGACGTCTCGAGAGCATAGAATATACAAGTCCTACATACTTAGTGTAATGTTATATTTGGTAGAATCCAAACCAAATGGCCTCTAAATCTGGCACTGCTTGCCTTTTGACAGTCACTATTGTATGTATTTGCAAAATATAGAGTAATGTATAGTATTGCATGAAGTGTGAATGATTTTTTGCGTTTGTGTGGCTCTTCTCTCACACTATCTTTTCATAATGGGTCCATAAATCCATGTAATTATTCATCTCTCAGCTGCTCTCTGCAAAACCAACAAGCACATTTTTTGGCTTTTAACACTACTCTCACTCTCACACACACAAAATAAAAACACTCTCTTTCCTTGCTTTTTCTTTGTGATTTATTAATGAAAAAAAAAATGCCCTTTGGATAATAACCCAAAAAATAAAGAAACCCTTTTTTTTTTTAAGAATAAAATAAAATAATGTGTTTGTGAGGAAGATGGTGATTCTGAATTTTCTGAGTTTCTTGGGTGTTGGGTTCTGAATAAAAATCTTGCTTTTCTTCCTCATGCAAGCAAAACATCTTACTTTTTGCATTGCCTTTTTTTTTTTCTTTGTAGTTTTTTGGGGGTGGGGTTGATATATTGTACTAGTCCTCCCATTATTCCTTTTTTTACCCTTCCTTCTTTTTATTGTTAAAGGGGAGAAAAAGGGTCTTTTGATTAACATTGTTTGGGGAGAAAGGGAAAAAAACCAATGATTTGTTTTGAGTTTTTCTCAACATTTGGATTTGGCAACAACCTTGGAATTCTATTTTAAGAGGAATTGAAGCTGCTGTTTGTGGAAGTTTGGCACAAGCTTGGTTATCTTCTTTCTTCACTACTACTATTATTATTATTATTATTTATATTTTGGATGTGTTTTAAAAGCTCAATTATGAGGTGATGAAATAATTTGTTTTTTTTTACCCTTTCATGTTCTTGGCTTTACTATTATTAAGTTACATATAAGCTAACTATCTGTTTTGGTTTCATTCTTGGTTTATCATTCTCTACTACTTGACATGTGCCATATTTGTTAGTAACATTTTCACCTTATTTGTGAGTAAAGGAGAAGTAACTTTGATAATTGTTGTTTTCACATGAGAACACACTGACTAGGAAATGGTTGTCTGATGTTTGTTTCATATATCCTATTTTAATGCATGTTGTTCAGACTCTTCGAAAATATCAAAGGGTGTGTGTCGGATTCACCAGAAGTAGTAATTTTTTTGAGAATTTCACTCCAGTGTGGCATGGAAAGTGAAAGAGTCTATGCAACTTAGATTTTTACTATGTTGGATTTGACAAATTAACCATCTCCATCATTAAGAGATTTGAAAACTTAGATGGAAGTTTTTTAAAATGTTGAATTTATAAGTGGCGGATTCAGAATTTAATGGATGTATGTTCTGAGTTAAGACTGTTATAGTTATGAAATATGTATGTTTAATTATCACTATATTTGTCTTTTGCACATCAAAAAGCAGATTGCCTGTTTTCCATTTTTCTACTGCTATTCAAGATCAGGTGTGGTACTGAAATAGTAATATTTAGGCACATGAACTTTTCAATATGATTCTGTCTAATTATTCTTTTAACATAGACAAACCAATGTAAAGAGACAAAAAAAAGTTGGATGGTAATGACTATACAACAAGAAAAAAGAGAAAAATGTCTTGTCCATCCTTAGTTGTTCAATCCCTAGTGCCTCTTGAGTTAAAGCATTTTTATTGAGTCAACTAGTTGGATGTAAATGATCAAATTTAGTAGAGGTGCATTCTATACCATCCATCAGTCGTAAGCATATTGCGATTTTTTCGTTTTCCTAATTCGCCATACTAATTTTTTTCTTGTATGCATAACCTTCTACAAAATCTTTGAGATGTAATCTAAGTAGTGCTAATTGACATTTTTCTTGTTATAGGCAATTCTATTCAGCCAAAAGTATAGAAGTGTGAACTATCGAGGCTTAATGGTCGTGGAAGAACCTTTTGTGTGCCAGCAGCTGTTGTTAGCTTGATCTCTTAACTTTGTTGTTTCATAGAAATCCTGAAGTGATGTGGAACTCAATTTCCCACTAGAAATGGCAGAGCCTCATCGGATTATAGATGAAAATTTTCTTCATACAACCATTGTTCCCATTAGTTTTCCCGATACAGTTTGTATGAACAATCAAAACCATATTATGGATGGACAAAACCATATCATGGATGGACATGGAATTCCTTATCCTTTTATGCTGCAAGGTGAAGCTGTAAACAGTTCTCATGGTTTTCTAAATGTACCTAATTTTCCTCGACGTGTTGACGCTGAAGCAATTCACAATGTGCTGCCGGCTGGGAGAAACAGAATAAAAGAGTTTTCAGTGAGTACTTCTTATCCACTCAGTAATGCTTACACAGATGATCAATATATGGAGGGAATACCAATCTCTGCAGTGTCTCTTGCTAATCTTATGGCTGCAAGGAACGCCATGCATGAGAATCCTGAAAATTTAGCGGTACTGGCTCCGTTATCACATCCTGCAGAAGGCCAGAAAATTGATGGTCTAGACTATCCTAATGTGTTGAATCATTCATTTGGATCCTACAGAAACTATGAGTTTGATGGTGTTTCGGAAATTGCTGGGACGGTTGTAGGACGAGCAGGATCTCAGCCTTTCCAATTAACTGAAAATGTGAATTCAAACACATGGTTCTCATCAGAAACAGCTAGTTTGAGTTCTGATAGTCCCTCTGGATCCTCCCGATTTAGCAACGAGCTCTGTCTAAGTCTCACAACATCACAATCTGCTGTTGCATGTGGGACTACTATCCGGGACCAATGCTCGGATATAAGCTGCTCCGGTGTAACCAACCATGCTTTCCCTCAAAGACGCTTTGATTCAGAGCTAACTTCTTGCAACAGCAGAAATCTATCTTTAAACTTTGGTTCATACAAACCTGTCCACCTTTCACAATTCTTAACTGGATCAAGATATCTCCGTGTAATGCAAGAAATACTCTCTGAAATTGCTCAGTTATCACTTCAAAATCATAACTTGGTTGCCTATCGAGGAAATGGGATGGAGAATGGTGCAAATACTTCATTTGCTTTGAATTCAGATGCTGGAAGGGGCTATGCAGCCATGAGTTCCGATGATTCACCTGATGGAGACCATAGAATCATTGGTCTGATGGATTGTGAAGCAAAGAAAAAGAATCTGGTAGCTTTGTTGCAAGTGGTAAGTTGACAAGCATTTGATGGTTAGTTTTTGTTGTTACACAATAATCTGTTTTGAAAATTCTTCTGCTTTGCCTCTGCTTGCTCTCGTCTCTATGCCTACTCATCTTATGTCATGTTGTGCTTTGCACTTCCCGTATATTTAGGTTGACGATCAATACAACCAATGCTTAGATGAGATTCATATGGTCGTCTCTGCATTTCATGCTGTGACCGAGTTGGATCCTAGTATACATGCACGTTTCGCCCTTCAAACAATCTCCTCCTTGTACAAAAACCTGAGGGAGAGAATAAGCAATTACATTCTCGCAATGGGAGAACATTTCAACAAAGGAGGAGAAAGGGGAGTAGAGAAGTCATTCGAAACATCCTTCATTCAAAAGCAGTGGGCACTTCAGCAGCTAAAACGAAAAGATCATCAGTTATGGAGGCCACAGAGAGGCTTGCCAGAAAGATCTGTCTCAGTTTTGAGAGCATGGATGTTTCAAAACTTTCTTCACCCGTAAGCATGACTCTCAACTTATATACACTATAAGTATAATCCGTTCTGTTGTATTAGATTAACTGTCTTATTGCAAAAAAGCTAAACATTCTCTTAATTGAAATGCTTCTGTTTCGTCTTGTAATGTAATAATTTGCTCAAAACAATGCGCGTTTCAGATATCCAAAGGATGCAGAGAAGCAATTGCTGGCAGTAAAAAGTGGATTGACAAGGAGTCAGGTATAGTTAAACTCAGATATACATGTTGATACTTTGTCTGATACATTGAAATTCTAATATACACCTTTGAACAGGTATCGAATTGGTTCATAAATGCTCGAGTTCGTCTATGGAAACCAATGATAGAGGAAATGTATGCTGAGATGAACAGAAGAAAAATTCGTGCTGGAAATGAAGATGAAGCTAACCATCATCGAAGAAATCACAAAATTATTGAGAGTCATTTATTTACAATGAAGTGACATGATGATGATTATGATTATGATCATGTATAATAATATTTTTGAGTTAATAGATATATCACTAGTTTAGTTGATCTTTTGCTCAAAATTTGCGCAATTGTACATCTGCTGTATCTAAGACTCCACGTTGTATGCTATGCCAAAATATGGTTTTTATATATTATTATTATTATAATTCGAAGTCCTTATAAATTTTGTATCAAGTCAAATCAAGTAAAGTCGAATGTCAAAAGCTATTACTCCCTCCATCTCATTTTATGTGAGGTAGTTTGATTCGACACAGAGTTTAAGAAAGAAAGGAAGACTTTTAAAACTTGTGGTCCAAAATGAATGATAGAAATTTGTGTGGTTGTAAATCATTTCGTTAAAGGTAAAATAGATATTTTATAGTTAAATTGTTAATATAGAAATGCGTCATTCTTTTTTGGACGGACTAAAAAAGAAAGTAAGTCACATAAATTGGGACAAAGGGACTAGTAATTATTATGTATTTTGTGGAAGCAAAAGCTTTCGTTATCTTACGGTTTTGCTTGGTAAGTGAATTAATTTGGTAGCTTTCAACATTATGAAGTATATGTATGATTGGGCTAGAATGTAGATGGCAACTCACTCGTGTGGGAAGAAAAGTTTTCAGTACTTTGCCTAAAACATGAAAAAAACCATAGGGGCCGGCCAGCAAGAAGAGGACAATAAATACATGTTGATTTTACTTGCATCATGTGACCATATAGTACTATGTCATCTAGCTATAGTTATGTTGTCGTGGAGGTTATATAAAAGAGATCATATTATTCATATCACTAGTCTCCCGGACTTAGTCTCGTGTAAGTCATAAGGAACTAATTGTAATGCCTAAAAAGGCCAAATTAAGTTTGGAATCTCTAAAAATTTAATCCAAGATCTTACCTAGGTCTAAAATTATCCCTCAGATCCAATGGAACTCTCAAAATTTCTATCCGAGCATCCGGCCCTTGAATGATGACCAAAGTCAACCTAAAGGCTAAAATTTCACAATTTTCCAACTTACTAGTACCTTAATTCCTCAAAAAGACTCCGAATTTGAAACTGACAGCTCATTTAGACCAATTTTCCATATTTTGGAACGGATGGAATCGATAGAATTCCATTCCGACACTCGAAACTCCAAAAGATACCTAAACCTACTTTTTAACAACTTTAGCCTTTCAAATTCCAAATTTCACGACTTTTAACTCAAAACTTGAAGTTGATTTCAAAACTCATTCAAAAATGACTCAGGGCTAATATCAAGAGGGATAAAACAATAATTTTATAAAATATTCAAAAATGACCAATCGGGCATTTCTGGTTTGCATGACTTGCATTCTGAATTGCCTCCTTTGACTCGTGCATGCTTGCATTTAGATAGGTTAGATACTTCTTATATTAGGAGAATTATTGTAAAGGAGTAGTAAGGGAGTGAAACCCTGATCTAATCTTACACGTGCGAGGACAGTCCTCTGAATAGAGTCCATTGCATTCCACACTAATCGACGGACAGCCCTCGTACATTTAGCATAAACCGCTGAAAACTCAAAAGTCTGTCCACTCTGAGTGGGCAGAGCCTTACTATTTGTTTCGAAGTTACAAACAATTTGTATTAAGATCTCAGTGATTCACCAAAACTAATGAAAAATGCATCCATTTGAATGTCTTGTGACCTGCGATGAGTTGTGCCAATGTAAGTCTTGGTGATTGGTTAAGAATTGAACTCTGACATATGGTGAGTAGGTTGTTTTTGAATAACTTTATTAAATGAAGGGAAAAGAGTCAAATATTTTCCTAAACCGAAAATGTCTAGATATACCCTCCATTTAAAGTTTGGCTCATATGTGCCCTTGCCGTCCAACTTTTCGCCCATATATGCTCTTGTAGACGTTAGTTGATTTGTTGGAAATAATCAATTCATTTTTCCTTTCTTTAAATAACAAATGGAATTGCCACATCCCTTTTTAATTACCTCGTGACATTTATTTATATTTAAAAAATGAATACACCTCTTTTAAATAGGATATCCGACCCATAAATCATATCCGACCCAAGGTGGCTAGAGTTTCAATTCCTCCGATCAGATCTAAAATGAGATAACAGTTGACATATGAAATACAACTATTTTGGGGTCGTTTGCTAGCTGTCTTGCCAGACCAGTGAGGTGTGTGGGTTGATGTTTTGTCGGCTACCTTGGGGGTGGTGTTTTGGAGCTAGTGGTGATCGGAGCTATTTGGTGGCTGTTTGTCCGAGGTTGTGCGAATCAGTGAGCTCATTGGAGCTCTATTGTTTGCTCATGGTTAGAGCTCGAAGCTCACCTTTTAATGGTGTTTTTCTTTTAGGAGAAAGTGATGGGTTTGGTTGGAGATGGCGTTTCTCCGACCAAAGGGATTTGGGTCAAATATGATTTATCGGCTTATGTGAAATATCCACCAAAGAAATTTGGGTCGGATAGGATTTACGGGTCGAATATTCTATTTAAAAGAGATGTATTCATTTTTTAATATAAATAAATGACATGTGGTAATTAAAAGGGGATGTGGCAATTTCATTTGTTATTTAAAGAAAAGAAAAATGAGTTGGTTATTTCCATCAAAGCAACTAACGTCTACAAGGGCATATATATATGGGCGAAAAGTTGGACGGCGAGGGCACAGATGAGCCAAACTTCAAACGAAGGGTATATCTAGACATTTTCGCATAGTTTAGCATGTCAAAATGATCTATTGTGTACTACACAAAACCAATATGGGATCTACACCATCGGGAGACTTACACAAAAGTGATATTTTGGAGAAAATATTTAAATATGACGGGTAAATCATGATAAACCAATATGATTTCGTATGATATTTATTAAGTTGTCATTTGGATTATACATAAATCATGCAGGATCATCATGTAATTCAAAGCTACTAACAAAAGAAGAGAAAAAAAATTCAAAATTGTAGAATGCAGGTCATGGTTATAACCCAATATGATTTCATGTTATTTTCTCCCTAGTTATAATGTTGAGTTACTCACAAATTATGTCGGTTAGTCATGCATTTCAAAGCTACAAATAAAAGAGAGGGAAAAAAATATATGCCAAAACTATGGCAGGTAAGTTATGACAGACCGACACGACTTCATGCTATATTGAACTACATATTTGTCCTTCATATCACACTAGTATGACTTCATGTTATACTCAGATTAGTTGTGATGCTAGATTACTCGTGATGCTAGATTACTCATGAATCATGTCAGATCATCATAGTCTTAAAGCAACAAATAAATATATATATATATATATATATACCTTCATGCTCGTCCTCCTATTGAATTACTCGTAAATCATACTGAATCGTCATGTATGATTTTAAAGTACATAAAAAGGAGGAAAAAATATATTTCAAAATATTAAATAATTTAAAATATTTGAGTGAAATATATTACAGAACAATTTCTAGGTATCGTGACTGAAATAAATAAATAAATAAATATATATATATATAATTATTTTTTTGAATGAAATGTATTTACTTAAGAGAAAAGGGTCAAAATTATCTCAGAATTATGCGAAATAGACCACTTATACCCTTTGTTATATTTTGGGATAAGAAATGTCTCGTTGTTATCCTAAGAGACCACAAATATCCTCAAGAGTTAACAACCCAAATTTTTAGTGACGTGACAAGCTACGTGGGACTAATCCCTCCACCTGAGTATTGCCAACTAGGATTCACTACAAAAAAAACCTAGACTTTTAGCACAGACAAAAGTCGCCACAAAATCTCAAAATATTGCCACTAAACATTTTGAGTGATTATTAATGGCGACTAAGGCTGCAATAAACATTCACTAGTAAAATCTATTTTTTCAACCAAAAAAATATGATAATTAGTTTTCAGTTACAACCTAATTTCTAAAATCAATAACATATACTATCAATATTAAACCAACCAATATTATTACGAAAAACACCAAAATTACTTCTCGACTCAAATCTTCTACTATACATTATTATACATTTTATGCATTTAAATATGAAATAAAAATAAAATATATAGTGTCTTCAAACTCCTCTTTGATCAATGTCATTTGTGATTTTTTTAAAAACAAGGAAGAAACAAACCCAAACTCATAATCTAATGCTAAAAATCAGTGAAAATCTTTAGTGATGTGTAACGACCTGTTCCTGTTGATATAGAAATGTCAACGGGAAAAAATTTGGGGCCGAATTTTTTTTCGTAGTATTTGGATTTTCCCAACCTAGTCCAGATTTGGACGAAATTGGAGTCTTTAAGGTGTAGGAAAACCTGGTAACAATCGGGTGAGTTAATTATGATTTTGATTACAAGTAGTTAGATAACTCGTTAAGGAACCCGTACGACTTTACGGAATTGAATTCGGGCGAGTAGAACTCCCGAAATCGATCTTAGCGTGAAGGGTATTTTATGAGCGTCGTGGGTTAGAGGTGTGTTGTGAAGTGGGGATTTTGGAATTCTTTAAATAGCCTGTTTCATGCAACCTGCTTTGGCGGGGATTTTGGTCGCTTTGGCAGGGCCATTGTAGCGGGCTCAACGCGACTTAAGGTCGTTAATAAATCCCTAAATGACCTTATTATGCACTTTTCAATTTTTAGAGCTAAAAAATGAACCCCAGGCGACTCCTATTCGTTTTTCACCATTCTTGAGGCTAAATGTAAGTTTTTCACTCCCTGAATCCATTTTTCGATCCGTAGAACGTAATAGAATGGGTGAATATTGATGGGGGAGGGTTTTGTTATATATTATATGGTGGAAACAACCCTAATTTGGATAATTGGGATCATGGGTTTGATCTAGGGTTCATAGAATTGTTAGTAATTAGGATAATAAGTGATTGTTTATTAATTCTCGTATTATATTGATTGTTTGTAGACCAAGAACAAGCGGAACGAATCCGAAAAGGGAAGGATCAAGTTTCTTAGGGTTTCAAGCTTTTCGAGGTTGGTGATGGTTGTGATTCTATGATTGTGTGATATAT